TATCAATCTCACACTGGTATTTATTCGCGACGGCGACCATTATGCATTTAGCCCGCCTGGCCGCGCACTGCACGAGCGAGCGCCAACGCAGCGGAGCGTGCGGTTCCGGCGCACGCGCACGACACCCGATGCAGAGCGAAATGCATCATATTGAGAGACTCCTTTAAACTACCGGTCTTACATTTGAAAAACATCAAATTGGGCTTCGCATACTTTAAAGATATGTAGGTAAAGAAGTTCTCGCAAGAGATCTTTAGAATTTGAAATTATGAAAAAACACTATGAGAGAAGGAGAACTTAACTTAACTTAATTAAAACAGAATAAAGCGTTTTCTGTTTTACAACACTCCCTTGCTCATAGGGCATCATTGGCCAATGTTCTTATTTGATCGCCGAGATATACAATAATTATTTGATAATAGTAAAATAAAGTTTTACAAGGAAGTAAATGCTTTTTTTTTACTTAAATTCATTTCTGTAAGAGTTAACATGTTGCTGTAATTTAAATTCTCTTTTTTTATTAAAAGAAACCTACAGACGTTTTGGGAAGCTGTTGGTGCATAGTTTTGTAAACACATAATAAATAGATAAACAAATGACATGTCCCGTGTTAAAGCCATCACGACGTCACGCGTACCAATTCATAATTCTACATTTTTCGGTTTCTTTGTAATTGACGAAATCTTGGTCACAACCTTGTCTGATCTTAAGCTACGATAGCTTTGAATTATAGCAGAAAACACAGCACGCATCAGGAGGGACGAAGAAAAGCGCTTCCTGCCAAACGGATGGTAAATCAAAGACAAAAAGATAGAATGTTCCGGACTTAACTCAGAAGAAACAAAACTTCTCTTAATTCTAGCAGTCCGAAACACACGCTGACCTTTGACATAGAGCCACATTCCTCGAAACCGGAATTGGACCAAATTAATCTGAGTTCGTAGCATCGATTAACCGGCGATTTCCATTTCGCCGATTATTTTATTGACCTTCGATTTCTAAATTCAACATGATAATTCTCAGGTCTTTGCTAGCAGTGCGGTAGGCATGTCATCATGGTGGCGGGTCGCCTCATTCGGAACCGAGTAAAAATTAAACAGAATCCGGAATGAGCTGTCTTGAAAATCATTAAAATTGTCCCAAAAATATATCACCGCATTTAAATTATTGTCTGACTTACTCGATCCATGCGTGCACACTCATTTGATTTCATTAAAAAACAACATGTTAGACCACACCTAGTTTAGTTTGTTGAAGTTGAAGTGCATATACGTACAATATGTTTGTGTGCCTTAACTTATTTTGTTGCATGTCTTCTTCCACAAATAATTGAGATGTGGATGTTTTCAGCGTCTTGCGTGTAGTTGAATAAAATATTTAAAACATGACCATACGTATTGTATAATTTTTATAGATATAATTTAAAAAATATATGCTCGGCTCTACTAGCCCAAAGAGTGAAGCCTTTTAAAAAGTTGCTTTTGGCAAGATGAAAGTGCAGTGGATAAAACCGAAGAAAAACGGCTGTACATAATGTATATATAATACAGGATTGACCTGTGTTATAGAGCACCAGGCTCTCCCCTTCCACCGCTAAGCATACGTAAGAAAGATAGGCATAACACAAAATAATACGTGTACTTAAACAATTTACTACAAGTTAGAGGAGTCGCGTGGGGCACCTGAGTTGCCCATTGTTGTAATTTGGTCACTGTTGCAGGACACTTCGGTTCGTATCTCCGACACTAGCCCGGAGATTAGTAGAGGATATGTACTCGCTGGGGTTTGTGGTGAGCTGCAGAGACGGACATGTTTGTCTGCCTCGTGCGCAGCTAGCGCGTCTAGTTGAGGGAAGTGAGGAGACGCGCGGGGCACGTGAGTAGCCCTTTAAGTGGGAAGCTACGTCCGAACATCTACGGCATCTCCGGCACTAGCCCGGAGAGCTAGTAGAGGATAAGCTAGATATTCTCCAGTCCCTCCAGCCGCTTAGGTTATTGGGAACTGAAGACAAACCGTTTTTCGGCGTCGGGAAATGAGTGCGTCTTACAGCTCCGCCACCAATGAGGAAATTTGGTAGTGCACTTAGAGTCGACGGCTTAGAGGAGGCAACCGTTAGTCGTACGGAGCGCGACGGGAAGTGACCGTTTTTACAGCTTCGGTACCTATCTGGAAAATAGGGAGGGTGCTATACCTACGTGCACCCGGGGCGGCTCACCCGAGGCACTAGCCTCTAGAGAACCGGATGAAGTCAAGTGACAAAGGTCTATGACAACCCCGTATTCTGGCTGATCTGGGGACAGAACCTGAACTTATAAGGTTCCTGTGCGCACACATGTTATAGTGCCAACCAAGAGATTGATAGGGAGGGTCACTATAACCAAAAGTTTACATAACTTTTGATGTATGGGAGCTGTTTATTAGCTTTAACGTTGACATTTCAACCACTTACAAAATTTTTCCAGGTTTAAAACTCTAAGCTTACAAAGTACCAAAATCCTTTTGTAATGCCTCTTTAAATTTTTTTCAATTGACTGTCCTTCATGGTCGTTTGTTTTGATGCCATTTTAGAGCAGTTTTTACATTGATTTTACGGCATCGGATTAAATCTTAGAGGATGGAAAGTTAGGAATAAATACATATCAAACCAAAACTTTTTATATATATGTATAAATAAAATACGAAAGGAACTTTTATTCATCATCCATATACAACCTTTTTTAACCTCTTTGATATTGTCACAAAAAACGTAGAGGACAGAAACCTTAGACTATGGTTTTCTTTTCCATCTTAAATGACAAAAAACAAAAACACTACAATGTGTTACGTCAAGTCAGTTTACTCGCTCGGAATTTAAAAAAAAATATGATCAATGATCAGTTTGATAACAAACGCGCGTATCTATGCAGTTTTTCCAAGAATTTCTTAATATTGCGTCTTTCCTGACAAATTTTCTTGTTCCTTGACTGCGTGTCATTATATGCGGGCAAATATAAGGTATTATAATTGTTTTCTTTTTATTTTATGCCGCCGTATTTCTTATGATCAGCATTTCTAAGTTAAGGTATTTCGAGTCTATAGACGTACTATAATGTAGTGAATTGATGTAATAGAAGTATACTTGGAAATATAAAAAACAATATGTTTTAAAACAGGACTGTTATATTTACGAGCCAACAAAAAGCGTACGTAAGAATGAGAACATCGCGCCGACGGATGCAAGTTATTCTTGTAATAGCGTATTTGCTAATATTTGGAACTTTGTACCTGTTAATGCCTTTAAAGGACGTGTGCGTGGATATAAAGTTAGAATCTGACATGCGTAGAATGAAGACTCTGCTCCGCCTGACGGCAATGTTGAGGATGAAAGGAGAAAAAGGGTCAGGATGCACCATGCCCAAGGTACACACGTTTCTTGAAAATATTGTGTTAACGAACGGCAACATATCCAGGACAACGAGCGCGGAAAGAGATTGGGTCACGTGCTCAGCGGACAAGTGCTTCGTTCTGCAAGACATATTGAACGAGTTCAAAGCGGTCGAGTGTTACTATAGCGACGTCATCTTCATCAACGATTATGAACATTACACAACGTTTCCCATTAAACTGGACGGTAGAGAAAGGTATACCTTAGAAAGGTCGGATCATGTTAAAATATCTTGCGTCCAAAAGACCTTTCGTCCGTTTCAACTGTTTACACCTCGGTGGAATGGCTTGAAGGCCGGGTTTCGTAAAGTCTCAGTAGCGGTACCTCGCAGTCGCGAAGATTCGCCCAATGTGCTCATACTTTGCCTACGTTCCTTGTCACACAAGGACGCCTTGCAACGTTTGCCACACACATATAAAGTCCTGACGCAGAAGCTCGGCGCAGTTGTGCTTAAAGGGTATAATATTATAGATGAAGGCCCGCAGGCGGCGTTGTTCCCTATTCTAACAGGAAAAACTGAACTCGAATTGAATAATGCGCTGGAAAAAGACGAACTGGATCCAAAGTATTTTCTATTCGGCCAGTTGCATTCCGACGGCTATCGCACCGCGTACTTCGAAGATTTGCCTTTGTTAAGTACTTTACAGTTACATTTCCGACGCCAGCCGACAGATCATTACTTAAGACCTCTTTTCCTGGAACAGCGCGAAATGTCGGAAAAGTGTCGACAAACCACACACGACTGCGTCGCAGCCGCGCCCATACACTCTCAAATGATAAACTTAACGCATCAGTTTAGTTATATACGAGATAAACGCTTCAGCTTTACAATAATATCTAATATTTTTAGTGAATATCATGATTTGGTAGCCGTGGACAATGAAATATCATATATGTTGAACTCATTGCAAGCAGGTGGATTTTTAGTGAATACTTTACTTATTGTCATGTCTGACCGTGGGTCCATGTTTCCGGAACTGACAATGACCCATCAGGACGCTGTTGGAGAACGACTCCCGTTTATGTCCATAGTTTTGCCAGATACATTAAAAAAAGCTCGACCTGATGCTGAGAAGTTTTTGAGAACTAACGCGAACGTCCTCACCACACCGTTTGACATCCACTCAACGGTGTTAGACGCAGTGGGTCTCAAGCGACTAATCAATCATTACAAAGTGGCTGAGTCCGAGTTACCGAGAGGCATGAGCTTGGTGCAGCCGATACCGGCCACTCGTTCTTGCGTCGAAGCAGATGTGCTTCCTCATTGGTGTGCGTGCTTTGAGTGGACACAAGTGCCCTGGAGTGATCCAGCGTTCGCGCAGTCTATTCGGACGGTCGCGGACTTCGTCCACGATCGAGTCTCGGAAGATGTAAAATGTGCTAAAAGAACTGTCGCATCCATTGAGTGGGTGATGCGCTACAATTTTCAGAAACAAATCATTCAACAGAGTTATACTGAAAATGGCTTCGACAACTTTACAAACACTTCTATTGAATTCTATCAGGTTAGGCTGATAATGAGACCTGGACGTGCTATATTCGAAGGTACAGTTACGCTGTTAAAGAAACTCCGCGCTTACGTAACTACCGAGCGGGAGGTATCTCGGATCGATAGCTACAGCGACGAGGCGAAGTGCGTGTCGGCCACCCGACCGCACTTGAGTAAGTATTGTTACTGCAATGCAAACGCAAACACTGTAACACATCGTGTATTATATATTGTTATGATAATTTACTGTATTCAATGTCTATTATAAACTATTTATTTTTGTTATTCTTGTTGCGTACACACCGGGCGCGACTTGCTTTGACACCATGTCACCCTAGTGTGAACGTACTGTACACTCGAACAAATTCATTTAGCAGCACATGAAGAACTTGATACCAGTAAAAAAAGCATGTTAATCACTGCGTTTTGCAGTTCTCTGCGCAATGTCAGTGTGCATGTGTTTGTTGAGGTCCGGCGCAGGCATTAATTGTGATGTACTCACACTACTTCCTGCTCGGCTCGCTGTACCTTCGTCGTAAACTGCATCTATCCGTTGCTGTACAGACTTTACAAAAATCTACTGATATCACTTTATTTATGTGTAGGTAATGTTACATTTCTAATATATTAATAATATTTTTTACGCTAGATTAAGTCTTATATCGAAAATAGGAGCCAGGCAGTGGTGCATAGGGGTTTTATATCTGTTTACAAATGTATCACCTCCGGTTGATCACGGCTCACATCGTGGTCCGTTGTTGTTCACCCCTTAGGTACATCAATGACATCACTATATTACTACCTTTTCTGATCTGCTAATGTATGCAGATGACACTAAGATTACTTGCCAAGTCCTTTAAACAGCTCGGGTTCATCCTACGTATGGGACAGTACTTCAAAAGTCATTTCGCATATAAAATTTTATTTAATAGCTTTGTTCGTAGTGGATTAGAGTTCGCCTGTACTGTTTACATCCCTTATATAACTCCCACATAGACAGAATTGAAAGAGTGCACTTGACAGAAAGACTGGTCATGATTATATTGATTATGAGGACTCTACAGATAGTCATAAAATCGAATTGCTCAAGAGTCGTCGTGATTACAGAGGATAGATACTGTCATTTTATATAAAATAGTCAATAATAAATTTGATTCCACACCTCTACTGAATCTTATAGATTTTAGAGTACCCCGCCAAATTGAAAGATCTTGTCGTAGGAATACACTTTTCTCAGTTAAGAGTCGCAAAAATGTTTCGTTGGCAATAGCTTTATTAGGCGATCACGTCAGACATTTATATACAAGCAGATTCGTGGATGTGGATAATTTCTGTAACTTGCTGTAAAAATTTAAAAGTAAAACGCCCTACTGTAATTTGTTCTACATATTGATCATACATATTGATAGTCTTTAAGATTTCAAGTGCATTATAAATGAAGAAAACTCTAGGTCTACTTTATATATCTTCGTTAATGTAATAATAGTTTTATATCGACTGTTTGTTTCTTGAATCAATAAATAAATAAATAAAAAATCAAAACAATTTTACTGGAGCTCGAAAAAGCAAAATAAGTATAGGTACCTAAATTTTATTAAACTTGTCGTTACATAACTAAACTATTAGTTAGTCACCAAAAAACGTGGAGGTCGAAGAAATTAATAGGAGATAAAATCTCAGGGGTAGCGGCTGCGGTGGCGGCGACGCGCTGATCAGGCGTTAATCAATTGTTTGATTTGCATGGATTTATAGTCATCCGGGCGTTATGCAACTGCCGTGGCGCTGATAAATTAAATAATGTTACTCAACCAGCGCGTCCGCCGCCGCTGCTGCCGCCGATGTCACCGATGGCGCCGCCAACATACATCGAGTCACCAATATTCATCTTGTCACCAGCGGCAGCGTCAAACCACTTTTATGTGCAGTGTTGATGTAATAGTAACACGACGGCTAACTGGATGAATGGCGCTCGACAAACGTGTTTAATTATCGCAAATAAAATGTATTTGTAATATAAGTACCTAAGTAAGTACTAGGGTGCTATAGTTGAACCATTTTCGAATTTAGGCACAAAACGGACCCGTCGTTCGATTATAAATCACTAGTGTAAGTAGGCAGGTGCTGTAAAGCTGATCCGACTCGGCGGCGCAGGCAAGTGAGTACACGACGAGAATCGACGACTTACCCGTTGGCTCCGCTACTGAGGCCGTAGCAGTCGTTGATGCCGGCCAACACCCCTACAACGCCGGCTACGACGGCAACACAGCCGGCCCAGAGCCCAGCGCCAACCCTCGCCAGCGCCGCGCCCCGCGCCACACCCAGCGCGCCTGCGCCCACCAGCAGCGCACCCAGCACCACATGCGCCAGCCCCAACACCACCACCAGCCTCTTGCGCGTCGGCGTCTCACTGCCCGCTTCCACACTTTTCGAAGTCACACTCTGTTCCTTAATCGATTTGATCTTTTTCACTTTCGGGGGCGACTTGCAGATGAGATGTTCGGTGGAGTCTTCCGACTTGAGGCTGGACACGGTGGCGGTGGGCGCGCGACCCAGCTCGCCCGCCATGCCGACGTTCTCCGAGGAGGAGCGCTCTTCGTCGACCATCGCAACTCATCACTGTCACTCACTGCCGTCGGTCGCGGACGTGTGCTCTCCGCGTGCGCGCACTCGGGACTGCGCCCGAGCTGTTGTGGTGCGCGCGCGCAGGTGAAAGTTGTATAATCTGGCCGAGGAAATGATACAACGTTTGCGCATCCCATGTGATACTCACTAAGTTCTCTCTCGGCCACATGGTCACGGTAGATGTTACCAAAAAAGTGTAAAATAAAAAAATAGAAAATAATAAAAAGTCAAGGAAAACCTTAAAAAACTGGTATTCTTTTGTGCGAGTAACATTAAATCGATACTGTTCAGAATACTGGCGCCACGCACGTTTATAAACAAATGCGGTTTGACGAACGGGGATGAAACCACTCAAAAACTAAACAGCACTCAAGATAAGTAGTTACCTCTCTATGTATTCCGTATTACAAAGGTTACGTGTTTGATGTCAGGTTTGTTTTTGTTTGGAATCTCTAAACTGAATACTCTACGACGGATTACTACTTACGATGTAGATGTTGCCATAACACACATACATACAATTAATTATAACCTAAACAGCATAAAATAAGAGCATAAAAAAGGACGTTAGAGCGATTGCTGGTATCCCAAAGTCTGAATCTTGTAAACGGAGTTCAAAAATCTTATTGCCATTGCCCTCTTTTTATATTCATTGAACATATGTGTTTTTTTAACACGAACAACTGTTCGTAACATCATCTAATGAAACATAACAAAGATATCCTGACAGAGTATTTAGTCCTTTACCTACCTTTACGATGTAATACCGAAAACAACACAATGTGACAGAATGGTTAAAATTCATAATTAAGTATTAAACGTATGTAACTGCCTCCGTGGTCGAACCGTTACTATGCTGATCTGCCACGTAAAGGTCTGTGTTCGATTCTCGGGCCGGGTGAAATATTGTATGGTTTGCATTTATTTCTCTCGTCAGATTGAGTGCAATTTGTTGGTTATACGTGTTTCCATAGCACCCTCCATACAGGGTTTCCTCCTAGTGTCTATGAGTTATGAGTGTGCGTTGTTTATTAAATAATTTTAAAGGCCGTGCAAATAAATGTATTCCAAGTCAACGGCCAAAGTGACTAAGCTATCAGCGCAATATCATATTCTAAAATATCGTCTACTTTATTTATATTTGAAACAACAATCATATATCGAGTTCTTAGGTTTTCGCGATTGTTACACATAGGAAATGAAACTATTTTTCCGACCGTCAACCGTTTAGTCAACCGTTACCATGAGACCTGTAAAGGGCCCAAAGCGTCGGTTTGTTTGAAAAAACAAATATACACCACAATCATAATTTAATTTCAAAGTATCCGTAGGAATTTTTTACCGACTTTAAAAAGGAGGAGTTGTCAATTCGAGTGTATTTTCAAGGGTGGCAGGGATGAATCCGGTTCATTGGATTTCACCCACTTTCCGTGAACCAATGTAATTCCACAAACTCTTCAGGTGGGTTTTTGTAATAAAAAGTTATAATTATTTGATACGCATTCCGTTTTTAATGTTACTTGTATTTGACCACTTTTGCACGTCGAGTTTTTAATAGCAAACATGTCTCTTAAACTCTGACACCGTTTAATAACGTGTCACATAAGGAGGTGTGTGGTTCCCTTTCATTAATACATCATGGTCATCATCATGATGTTGTAATGAGGCAATATTACGCAGAAGTATAATATCATTGATATTACGTATACAAGGTACGTGCGGAAGCGCCGATGTCGGAGACGTAGGGCGGCGATGGACGGCAAGGACACGGCTCCCGCGAAGGCGAGAAAGTGTCTCCTCGTAACAGCAACGATTGCGTTTACGTGACAAAGACGTACGTACTTAATAATAATAATAAATGTGGTTCAAACCGGCTAACAAGCTGGGAGGAATAAAGTAAATAATAATGATAATAATGTATTGTTCAATATTTATCAGTTTCGTTAGATTACAAACTGAAGCGCTCAGCAGTACCATGCCGTCTTGGCGTAGCTAATATTGTTGATACATATGTCGTTAATATAGCAGTCGACACGACCACCGCTCAGCTCTCCTAGAAGTGCGTTTTTGTATAAGTTGAATAGCTTGGGCGAGGTTGGCCTCCCCCGCCTCACACCGCATTCCAACAGGTATGGCTCAAATTGTTTTTCACCTCATCGTACAACATTGACTCGATTGTGGTACCAGTATTTGAAAATATAATTCATTCTTAGTCATTAATAATTACCTACGTGGTATTCTTCTACGCTCGTAAGTGGTGCGGTGCGTACTGGCACCGGATAACGTCAGCTATAGAGCCCAAACGGTTCACCATATTCCGGATGACTGTCGGTCGCCCGACGCGAATCAAATTCCGTTACACGGGTACTGTTATATTCATAATCATACAAAAATATTAACAATAACATATAGCTTAAGAATACGGCGTGCCCAACAACGACACCAGCCCGAAAGTCACCTCGAATAATCCCGTCGGATAAGGCGGCGGCCTGCCGGGCGATCATGGCGACGGGCGCGTTGGTGCTGGCGCGCACGACGGCGGGCATGGCGCTGCCGCGCAGCCGCGCGTCCAGCACCGCGCCCAAGCCGCCGTGCCCGCCGCGTGCCGCGCCGCCTCCGCCAGCCGCTGCGCGCGCTTGCTGCGGAAGTGCGTCGTGTTGGCCAAGGCCCGCACCCGCCGGATGGCCGCCGGGAACCTCTCGAGGTCCTCGGGATTTTCGAATGTGCCGGAGTAGATGAGAGGGTTGACGAGAGGGTCGGTGGAGCGCAGCCGCACTTTACCCCGGGACTTCGGCTCGAGGAGAACCGTGGCCACGACGATGAGCTCGCGGTGCTCGTTCAAGGCCGCCAATCTGAAACAGATGTCGTCGTTGAAGCCCAGCACCGATGCGCACTCGTCCTCGAACCCGGCGTTGACCGGCAAGCAGGTGGGGTAGAAGGCGAAGTCCGGGACGTTGGGCCGCGACGGGTCCGAAGACGAGTAGGCGCCCATGCTGTTGGAGACGGCCAACGGGCCGCTGCGGTCGTGGAGGTACCGGATGACGTTCATGTACTTAGCGGCCTCATCGGTGTAGCAGGTGCCGTTGTCGGCCGCAAGAAAATTAAGCACCATGACATGATCTTGCAGATTGTCTCCGACGCCGGGCAGGTCCTGAACTACCCTTATTTTAAAACTCTGCAAATGTTCTTTTGGGCCGATACCTGAAAGCAACAGTATTTTTGGCGTGTTGAACGTTCCCGCCGACAAAATTACTTCCTTATTGGCATGAAAGTGTAACTCCTTGTTGTTTTTCAATACCCGCACGCCGTATGCCGTGTTATTGGTGATAAGGACACTGGCGACGGTGGCATTCTTGAGGACGTGGATGTTGCTTTTGGCGGCGGCCTCGTTCAGCATGCCGATGCCGGTGAGCGAGCTGGCGCGGCGCCCTTGCTTGATGGTGTGTGAAAATCGGCCGACGCCGATCTCGTCGGTTGATGTCATATCTTTCACCATTTTAAATCCCAGTTCCTTAAACGCGTCTAGAAACCTGTCAATATCGAAAGTAGACTCGGCAAGGCCGGACACTTCAATGGGCCCGCCAAAGCCGTGGTTCGCCAGCAGCGCAGGCTCTTTAACAATTCTTTCGTCAGTTAGATGTTCGGACTTTTTGAAGTACTCCAAGAGGTTAGTCCAGTTCCAGCTATCGTCGGCGACGCTAGCCCAGTGCTCGTAATCGGCCGGGAAGCCACGGGCGTACACCATGTCGTTGAGGGAGCCGCTGCCGCCGAGATCTTGCCCCGCGGTTGCTTCTGACTGCCACCGATCAGAGCTTGGCTGGAATACAAGTCGTTGACGGTTTGAAATTTCCAGTCGTACGTGCTGCCTTTCAGCATGCCCCTAAAGCCTGGCACCTACAAATGAGCACACATTGATGAGAATCGTGCATTAGCTACGTGTTAGAATGTGAAATTCCGATGGGAATACGCACGACCGCGTCGAGCGGCAGGTCGCCGCCAGCCTCGAGTAGCAGCACAGTGGCGCCGGGCAGGGCCGCGAGGAGAGGAGCCAGCGCCGCGCCCGCTGTGCCACCACCCACTACAATGAAGTCAAAACAAGTTCCATCTGAAACAGAAAATAATAATAATCTACTTATAACCAACATTTGTATTATACATATATCCTATATCGTCGACTTATCGTGAATACCTCGTATGAGATTTCTATGTAATTTTTCAGGACGAAGATAAAAATGTTGTGTAAAATGTAGTGTTTAGGCCTTAAAGCGCCTACAGTGATTGTTACAGCAATCACATTTTCACTTGTGAT